ACAAAACGTAGGCTGATCGGCGAAACGCCCGGTGAGCGGCCTGCGCAATCGCGCGGGCTTCTAAAGACCCACCATCCACACCTCCAAAGAAGGTGCGGCCGGGTTCGACGGTCAGCACATCCACGCAGCAGCGGTGGGGCCGCTCGAGCTGATGAAACAGGTCGATGTTGCCGCAAGTTCGCACCTCGCCCGACTCGTCGATGGCAGAGTGCGGGAGCGCCGCAGTAAGGAAGGTGCGGCTCCATCCGAGCAGGCGTAGGTTGCGAAGCACGATCCGCTCCGGTGCCCCTCCCATACGAAAGCTGCTGGCGAACGCATATGTGATCAGCTCCTCTTGGTGTCCAATGTGTTGCTGATACCACGGTGCGAGCCTGCCGTTTTGGCGGCAGTCGTGGTACTCCGGGTGGCAGTCGCCAATCACCAGGCAGAGATTCGGCTGTACAGGCAGGTGTGTGTGGTGCCTCCTCTCAGAAGAGGTGCTGTGAGTGAGTTGGGGTAACGGTGTTCGTGTTTGATTGCTAGGCGTTGGCATGTGAGTGCGACTCCTGCTCGCACAGCGGTATCGCTTCAGCCAGGCTCGAGAGTGCCCTTCTGTGTTCGCGCACTCGGGGCGCGGCTGCAGCGCCGCGCCCGCCAGCAGCAGTTGCAAGTAGCAGATGCGACAGGCCACCATCGGTGTTTTTGGCTTCGCCACCGTGTTGGCGCGAGTCAGTGGCAACAGACCCGTGTGAGTGAGTGACACAGACAGACACACACACACACACACACACACACACACACACACACACACACACACACACACACACACACACACACACACACACACACACACACACACACACACACACACACACACACCACAGACCCCCTGTTCAGGTAGGAGGCGGAACCCAAAAAAGAAAGAACGAAAACGGACAACCCAAGGGAGGGATGGAGGACGGCACGCCGCCACCACACAGGGATTGTAAGGAGAGGGGTGTGATGCGCTAGCCTCGCCCACCCTTGGGCGTCCGCCTCTTCCTATCTCTCTTCGCAGTCTTCTCTCGCAGATTCTCGCTGCGACCTTCATGCCACCTCGCGGTCGCCCCCTTCTCGTCGTTCTTTCCCTTGTCTCTTCTTCTTCTGTCGCGTCGCTCTCCTCTGCTTCGTTCTGCGGAACCCAGAGGTGGCAGCATAAGTTCCTCTTCATTTTCAATCAAGGCGCAAATGGCGCGCCGAATGTTGGTCCTACTGCCGGTGATAGCGGCGGCGGTGGCCACTCCCGAGGGCAGCCGCTCCCGCTCGCCCGCGACCCTGCCGGTGATAGCGGCGGCGGTGGCCACTCCCGAGGGCAGCCGCTCCCGCTCGCCCGCGACCAAGGCGGCGGTGGAGAGCACTCAGGCGGTGTACGACAGCGCTGCAAAAGACAAGGAGGCCACCGACACCGAGCTCGTCAGTGCGCTCTCGGATGCCATCGCTGCGGACCTCTCGGCTGCCAACTCGAACGTCGCGGCGA